ATCTGACTTGTATACCAATTTTCCATCTCTAAACTTCAGACTCATGTTGTATCTCAATTATGAAATATACAGTTCACTGTGATCATTAAATTACAGAGCACAGCATAAAAACTAGGGGAATGCGGGGAGAGCAGAAGAATGCACATATATTTGAAGCCTATTTTACAAATGTTTATTATCCGTTTTGTTCTTTCATGATTAATGCAGGCCAAAAGAAATGGTGTTGTCTGTACTATCATGCTCTGCACATCTCATCTTAAAATATTGCAGCATATGCTGTGTGTCTAAATAATAACAAATCTTGATCATGACAGATTTAAAGATATGAAGAACTTTCATTTTGTGTAATTTCCAGCATCTTCAAATAGTTTTGAAGATCCAGTGCTGCTGCCTTTTCTCCATTGTTAGTACTTTCCTCTTAGACTTTTTTTTAATACCTCAATAAAAAGTGCACTTTCATGATAACTGAAAATAGATGAACTTCTTTTTCCTTCCAGGCATTTATCATGTTCACTTCCTGCCCATCCCTAAAGTGCAGCTGCAGCTGGAAAACATCTCAGCATTTAGTTTCTTTATATGCTATTTTCCATTCTCAACATTAGAAGAGTTCACATCCTACAACATCATTTTAAAAAAGAATTTCATAGCTAAACAAAGCTGAAGTTGTCACAAAGATATTAATGCCCTAATTAAAAATGATATGCATTAGCATGCAGTAAGATTTAAAAATTGAGTGGTGATTAAGACAAAGCCTAATCGTAAGGGATTTTATCCCAACTACTCTTAACAGAAAAAAATAATAGACCTGGGAGAATGGAGGTTCGACCACTCCTAATCCACACTCATGTGGCCTTTAGACCTTTTAAGCAGCAGAAACAGCCATTAGAATTGGAGAAGCCCACGAAAGAGGTGAATCAGGAGGAAGCTGTTTCCTCACTAATGAATTAAAGTGTTGGCTAGTTACTGCAAAGGTGAAAGAAAGGGTATTATGTTGGTACAATGAAGTTTCAAGTGGATATTCTGTGAAAGAACAGCTTCCTGACTTTATAATATTCATAGCTAGAGGGTATAACAGGGGGATGAGTTCAGGCAATGCAGCTTCATTCCTTCTAAGGTCCCACTCGGAACCTTTCCAGTTCTCAGGAAATATCAACATGAAGAAACCAAAGAATGATTCTTCTCTTTGGAATTTGGGAACCAATTCATTAATTGAGGAAGCCACAAACTGAAAATATATGGTAATTACAAGCCTAACCAGAACAGGGGGGAATTGGACTAGTAGACCACCAAAGTCCCTTTCAGCCCTGATTTTATGCAACAGTTCCTGCCATTGTTATGGCTCAAAATCTGCAGCAACAGCCTAAAGCAGTGTGCAATATTCTTTGACATTCTTCCAAATGCCAATTGTTCAGAATTTTATTTCTATTATTTGTACCTTATATGCTACTCTATCCAATGCCTTTTCTATCTGATGGCTTTACAAACGCATACAATGTTTGTAATTGCTTGAATCAGTGTTTCTCAACCTTAGCATCTTTAAGAGCTATGGACTTCAACTCCCAGAATTCCCCAGCAGCATGAGAAGCACTGGGTTTCGTAAAGGCTGGTTAATTATAGCACTGCAAGGCAATTGAGAGTTCAGACACAAACAATTCTGTGTGCAACATAAAGGGAAGCTGATGCTTTGCTTAGCTAGACCAGTTGTAACAAAAGACATACCCATCCACACCTACCTCGGGCAACTCCTCATTCCAGTCTTCCTTGTCTGACTGGTCTGTGCAGTTTGATAAAGTTTCAAGTTAAGTCTTTGATATCCCAAACCACAAATAACTGCTACTATACTTTTACAGAAAAAATGGTGTAATTTGATCTACCACAATCATTATAATGTATGCTATTTGCTAACTTTTTTTAAAAAAGTATCTTCACTTTCAATGGATGTAAAGTGGCAAAGGACTTCATTATAAATTCATTAAAAATGAATAAAAAAGCACCACCATCCTACTTCTTTTTCAAGCAGGTCCTGAGATGCTCTCATCGTTATCCCAATACGGTACCATTTTAAAGCTTATACAAAGCAAAGCTTTTATAATTGAATGTTTAATGAAGGAAACATGGGATCTACTACAAGGCAATGCTTATTGAGAACTTTCCTGCCTGCCTACACAAATATCAAATGCAAGCTTTTCCTTCTTCCTTTCCCCAGATTATATCTACAGGTTGTCTTATCATCCCTTTGTTCTACCTTTGTTCCCCACCCCTCCTTTATATATAAGGTGTTTTTCACTCTCTTCCTTCTCCCCCACTGAATATAAAACAAAGGCAATCGATAACACTCCAAAACTGATTCAGAACTTTTTAAGGCAAAGGAGAGAGCATGGCCAGAGCCTACATTGGCCTCAATCTTTCCCATAGTCTGCAGGTTTCACTGTCCTGTGAGCCCCTCCTGAGTGTACATAGCTACTCTTAAATAGTGTTTAAATACTATTTCCTCAGTGAATGCTATATTCCCTTTAATTGAGTGCTTTATGTGAGAAAATCAGGATACAGAAAGTCAACAATGGATAGATACTAAATTAATGTAGCCTGGATGTAAACGTGTATGAATAATACAAAGGAAACCTGTTGAGAACGTTTAGTCATATAGAGACTGAATCCAGAAAGTTAGGAACAAGCAGAGTGTGAGTTCTAGTCCTACCTGGCATATGAAAGACCATCTGGATGACTTTGAGCTGGGGACTGTCTCTCAACTCAACTTCACTCACAGGCTTGTTGTATTGGGGAAATGTGAGGGGGGCGCATTAAGTATGACTGCATACTTGAAGATACACTCACATACACACACGGGAAGAATGAGAAAATTATAGTTTTATGATACCGAAGATACTGAAAAAAATTGAGACATTTCAAGGACAAGAAGTTTCATACAAATCTGAATGGATATGATAAAAGCAAAGATGGTTTGGAAAGAGAGCAGGGATAGTTACAGAGAATGGCATTGATGTGAACAAAGTTTAGTTATGTATTCTTTTCTTATCTCATGGATTTCTTTTGCCTACCAGCTCGCTTCTGAGCTCTGCAGAATGTTTTTTGTGCTTTGCATAATGTAGCTCTCAAATGGGATAACTTGATGGATCTGCCTGAATGAACACTACTTCTCCAGTGATTACTGAATTATCTTTTATTGATATTCTCTTCAATGACATTTAATTTCTTTAATTTATTTGTTTGAGGAATTTGCTATTGTTGAACTCCATATTTGCTCTGGTATGTATGTTTAAATATAATATTTACTAAGACAGTTTCTCTTGGGAGACTTCCTGCAGAACAACCTATAGAATAAATAATAATGTTTGAAGGATATGCAATTTTGCAGGGCAGCTGTGTATTATTTTATATTAAAGGGGTTTACAAAGCTGTGCATTCCAAAATGAGCCTCCTCTGAGATATGGATAGTTAAATAAAAGGTGGGTAAGGGCAGAGAAAAGCTATATTTTAATTATAGTTAAATGCCTTAGTAGGCACACAAATAATATGTTTGTATTATATGACATGTTTGCATCCAAAACATTAGGGAATGCATATATTATGTATTCTAGATCTAGGTTAAAGAAAGCTTTGGAAACAATGCTGCTATTTCAATTTATAAATAGTAGCATACATTTCCTTACTGCTGTATTCATTCCCAAATCCTCGAAAGCTGGGCATTTTTACTTGGGAGATTCTGTATTTGAAATATGAGTTAGAAAATGAAAACTGCGGAAGAATGGAAATGTTTGCTGTCTGAGTACTGTTTATAGCATGTTGATAGCATTTTTAGCCTTGACATCTTCTGACTTGAAATGCTAAAAACTAGCAGTGAAAACGAATTTTCCTGACTGACTTTTCCTGCAGCAATAAACTCCTCAGTTTCAGTCCAATTAAGGGAGAAGTATAACGTAAGCAGTAAAATTCCCCCCAAACCTGGTATTTTCAATGCATCCTCAACCGAATCTGAAGAGAGATGCAAAACAGGAAAAACAAGATAATTTCACTTTAAGTTCTTTTTGCTTGTGCTACTGAGGGGAGCTGCATGGAAATAAATGTTTCTTTCAGTAGGAAAGAAGCATTAATTCTTAAAACAAACAAATAAAAATGCGTGTAGCGCTATTAATGCCAGAAATAAATCACCACAGCTCTTTGGTGACACTGCCGATGTGGAAACACAACTCGCTGCATTGTGAATAGGATTGAGTGTGCTCCACTGTTTCCTACAGAGCCATTTCATTTCTTTCTAAATTCACTGCAGATAATTCAACCTCTTAAAACTGCATGGAAACATGCATGTGTAAGCATGTACACACTCATCCACACCCTCTGTTAATTTTGGATAACATTTCCAATAATTCCTATATTTCCCTGTGGATAGCCTATTACTGACAGTAAATATAGTTGAGGTAGTCCTTGACTTACAACCATTCATTTAATGACCGTTTGAAGTTACAATGGCACTGAAAAAATGATTTATGACTGTTTTTCACATTTACGACCATTGCAGCATCCCCATAGTCCAGTGAACAAAATTAGGACACATGGCAACTGGCATGTATTTATGATGGTTGCAGTGTCCTGGCGTCATGTGATCACGTTCTGAGACATTCTGACAAGCAAAGTCAATGGGGAAGCAGATTCACTTAACAATTATGTTACCATCTTAACGCCTGCAGTGATTCACTTAACAGCTGTGGAAGAAAGCTCAAAATTCATCTAACAATTGTCTTGTTTAACAACAGAAACTTTGGGCTCAAACAAAACCTCAAATTCAAATAATCAATGTTTTCTAATTATTAGATCGTTACCAGACACACTGAATAGTTTTCTGTTGTATCTGCAAGGGAAAAAAAGGATTTAGGATTGATACATATCTCAGATTAATTTAATTGTGAGTATGAACATTTGATGGTGAGCACATTGAGGGAAGGGCATCTTGTTGAGGGGTGGGAGCCAATGTATAAACCAGGAATTTCATAATTTTAAGTATGTGGTTCCCATTCAGTTATGCACAGTAAAGGGATAACCTAGACAGAGTTGGTCTGAGGTTGCCTGATCTAATTGTGAATCTTTATTGATTGAATGCTGGGATCTCCATTCCCAATCAAACCCTAAAGGTGGATCAAGCCAAATGTCCTTTGGCCCAGAACCCTGTTTCCACAAAGGTCAGAGCAGGATGTCCGGGTGGTCGTAACCATAGTTTCCTTACGCCTTCTGAACATGGAGGCTCTATTGAGTGACCTTGTAAAGGGCAGCCCCGAACTAACGACCTCCGCAGAATCGCGAGGCGGCCGCAGGATGACTCTTCCCGGGCCTCCGTTTGCGCCCAGCCGCCTTCTCCCGTCCCCGGGCTGACGGATGACTAAGAGCAACGCGCTGCGGGAGGATGATCATGGGCGGAGAAGGGACAGGTCTGAGCAGAGTCCGACGGTGTGGCTGGGCGGGAGAGGAAGGAGGCGCCCCCCGGGGGTAGGAGGGGAGCGGGGAACCGCCAGAGAACCCGAGCGGGGAACGGCGAAGCTCAGCCTCCCCGCCCAGGCACCGGGCCGGGAGCCGTACTAGCTCGAAGGCTCGGCCCCGCCGCCTTCCGTTGGCTCTCCCGGGAGGCGCGCCTAGGTCTCGGGCACTGCTCTCCGCTCCGTCCATGCCGCTTTCTCAAGCAGAGGCTCCCTGAGCCGGGCTCCCTCTTCTTTTGCCTCCTTTCCGATGTCGGGCCCCCGCAGCGCCTTGCAGGCCTGGTGCCGCCGCCAATGCGAGGGTTACCCGGGCGTGGAGATCCGAAACCTCAGCAGCTCCTTCCGGGATGGCCTGGCCTTTTGCGCCATCCTCCATAGGAACCGGCCTGATTTGCTGTGAGTACCGGGCGACCGCCTCTCGTTCCCCACCCCTTACTCTCCGCATACAGGACGTGCGGGACTAGGCCCAGCAACCCCGAGCTCGGCTCGACCACCAGCCGCTCGAGGAGGAGCTTCTCTCCAGCTCCCGAGTGGGGGAAACCAGCGCTTTCCTCCTGGGAATTTTGAAGAGGGAGAAAAGATGGGCTACTGGCTAGAAACTGGCTGGAGAGAGGCGCCCCCTCCAAGAGACGGACATGATGAAGTCATCTTAAAGTAATACTTAGAGCCTTAGAGAGAGACCCCCACCCAGCTGTCCATACCCCTCTAGCAAAGGCACCAACTGGCACCCTTTTACTCCATAGCAACTGATCCCAAACAAGGACTGTTTCCCACTCTGCAATCAGTGAGTGCAATGTAACTGGAATTTCATTGTGTAAAAAAGAGCTGGCCGGTCCAGATGTGTCTGACATGGGATCTGCTCCCTGTAATTCAGACATTTCCTGAAATAGGGTGAATATTCAGTTATAAATAGTGTAAAAATAGTCTATAAAACCAGTTCCTGTTTTGTTTTTTTTTGCTGAAAAATTGATGGACCCCTTAAATTAACCTTTCTTTTCTGCTCCAAATCAAAAGATAACCAAACTTCATATTTTAATAATTGTAATCTTGCCTGCCTACAGTAATGAAATGGATGTGCCCACTTTCATGACAAAAATTTTATGAAGATGAGTTTTATTCTTCTCAGATTCAGCTAAAACTCAGTTTCAGCCTTCCTCCTTGTTCCTCATCTCTGAAATGGCTTGTGCAAGAAATGGAAATCCCATTGTACAATAGAGTGATATTTTTAACACTACACACACTTTTAGTTCAAGCTGATTGATAACCTGGCCTGTGTCAAAATAGTCCAGTCTTTATCATCTGAAAAAACAAGTGCAGACTATTTGTTTATCACATTTCTACAACACCCATCTCACCTAAGTGTCTTTCTAAAAGCTATTATCAACCAGACCATAATCAGGGAATACTGTTTGAAGTTCTGTGAATATGTTTTTGTAGTGCCAGCTGTACGATTCTAACAGCCAAATAATATATAATATATAAGAGAAGAGTAGTAGAACCTCTTCTTTTTGACTGTGAAAAAATACGAAATCTTACTTTATAGTTGTGCTTTCCTTTTCAGAACTTCTCTCAAATGAAAATTTCAACCCTGCTTTGCTTAATGATTTTTAGTCTTTTTTGATGTTGCATGGATGTATAGATGGGCTCTAGATCTGCCATCAGTTATTTAATTATTTTGTTATCCTAAAGGAGCTTTCCAGTTTGGAGATAGTTATTGGAGTTCTGATATTAATCATGAATTAGAAACTCAGTTTTAATATTCAAGGGCAATTAAACTATTCTACCTAAGCCAAACAATAAAAGGTTTGGTAATATTTTTATTGATGCATTATAGTATTTTATTACTTTATTTACTTTATTTACTTTATTTATTAAAACATTTTGTCAGAAAGTGCCTCTAGGCAGCTTGCAACCATTAAAACATCAATATGAAGCATCAAACATTAAGACATAAATAGTCATAAAACATTTTATTAAAATTGACAAAGATGAGGAAGCGAACCAAATGCACTGAAGGAGGTGGGGTCTTATTTCTGTTAACCACCTCCTGAATGACACCCCCCCACTTGTGCAAATCATTTCACAATTGTAAACACATCCACAAACATTATCTTTTTAACAGTTGTCACAAAATAGTTGGTAGTACATGACTGGATTTTTTTGTTTTACAGAATTTCTGGTTAGTGCAAATTCAGAAGTTTACAGAAAAGGAATAGATAAATGTTCACTGTCTTATAAACAATATAGAATTAGTACGTCCCATATTTAACAGAATTATAGTTTTCAAATGTATTTTTGCCGGCAAATATTAATGCTTCTGTTTTGTAATGTTATCTTGCAAACTTGTGTTGCCATAGTCAAACTGCTTTGTTGTCCATGTTGTTTTTGTTGGAAAAAACACTGATCTAGGCAATATCCACTGAAACTAGCAAAATATTATCCTGTATGTGTCCTATATTCTGTGTTGTATATAATGGAGAGGGAGTTAAATGTGCTTATTTACTAGATTTTTAAACCACTGCAACTGTATGACTCAGTTTATAGAGAATAAAACTTCCACAATAACAGTAGTACAATAATTATTACAAATATAACTATTACCAATACATAATGTTTCACATTTAAATTGGAATAATGTATAAACAATTCTTATGGTTCATTCCAATTAGTTAATACACCTCCAGAAGACTTCTGTTTTAATGTATTGAGTTTTCCAATCAGAATAAGTGCTTGGGTGGAATAACAGGCAGAAGGTGGGGGCAGGAAGTTCTCCATCTGAAGGTCCCCTTATTTTTAGTCCTGGGTAAGCCTGAGCTGCTTTCAAACAATAGCGTTAATAAATTAACTTGTTTATTTGTACAAGACCAGTCAACCAACTTAATGAGGTGAGTTTATGCAAAGAATCAAGTAAATAAATGAATTAAGTTTAAAACTAATCAACTTTGCACATAGTGCAAATGGCAGCATAAAGTCTAGCCAATGGTTAAGTATATTATGTAAATACATTTATTGAGTCCCAATCCCGTTTAACTCTGGTGGGAAGATATTGCAAATAATGATTTAGGAGATATTTGTCTACCCTACATATTTGTTAATCATTCTTCTCCCGTCTGCCTACCCCAGTATAATACTATGATACAATTAAAGAATTATAACTGGAAAGCACAGTAGAAATCACCAAATTCAAGCTCTTGTTTAGCGCTGTTCTCTTACAACTGGATAACTTTTTAAAATGTGACAAATTAATAGCAGGAAAACTAAGACACGGTTATTACCATCATCCTCATCTCATTTCTATGCCATCACTTATCTCGATAAGGTTTGTAAGGCTAAGAGAATTAAGAATAGAAATATCTTTAGTAAATTTATGATCTATATGGAAGTACTGTACTAGCAACCTTTTTCATCTTGGTTCCTTCCAGATATAGTGGGACTGCAACTGGTAAAATTCTTGAATTATTGAGGTATAATACCTGGAGAACATCAGATTGGGGAAAGCCAGATTATTTATTTTTATCCCACCTTTATTATTTTTATAAATAAAAAGGCAGAAAAGAACCATGATACTTCTTCCTCCTGCTGTTTTCTGTACAACAACAATTCTGGGAGGTGAGTTAGGTTGAGAGAGAATTGCTGACCCAAAGTCACCCTGTTGACTTTCATGCCTAATGGCAGGAGTACAATTGAAAGTCCCATGGCATCCAGCCTGGTGCCTTAACCACTGGACCACACTAGCTCTCTATTAGATCAAACTAAATTAGGTATGTCATTGATGAATGACTGATAAAATTGCTTGGTGATAGCCATTCAATAGTTTTTAAATGAATGTGATAGTGTTGAGGGCCTTTGTCCATTATTAGCTGTCCATTAAGCACAAGTTACTGTTCTGAAATACCTCAACTATGAATCGCTGCTCTTGAAAATGGTCTAAGTAAGCACTTCTTAATTAACGGTAGTGAATTGCATTGCCAACTTGACACATAGAGCCTTACAAGGATATGGCATGTTAAGAAATAAGTTTCCAAGGAACATCTGAAGGGAATGTTGAATCATTTTAACTGCTTCAGCATGTCTCGACTTGGAAGCTAGAGGATCAAAGGATAGACAAAAATGGTCAAAAATCACACGAAATCCTGTTTTCACCTAAGTTTTATTTTATCAGAGCCCTTGGTGAACTGGTTGGCATTTTATGACATAATACAAAATGTCATAAAATATTTCTTGTAGTCAGCTGCTGATATTTGATCGTGCTATTTCAGGAGTCATAGTTCAGAAGATATAGAAAGACAGTACTTGAGTACAATACAATGTCTAATTTAATATTAATTGGACTTTGTGGACAATCTTTTAATGTGTTAGTTTCCTAAGCTTATGCTTTAATCACTGTTACAGGGTGAGGGGAGGAAATTCACAAGTTTTCTAGTCAACCTGAAATTAACAGAATGTGTCATGGCCAGCTCAGACTGGAAGGAGTCTAAGGAAGTATCTTAAAAAGCACCAGGGACACACCTGGGACTGATATGGTGGCAGAGCATTCTGAGCACCTGGAAGCAGCAAAGAATGACACTTCTGATCTAGGATCTCCTCCTAGCCCTAAGGCACGTAAGGCTGAAGGAAGGGCAGAACAGAGAAGATCTGAGCAGCTCTTTGCCACACAAGGGTGTTTCCACTGGTAATTGCTTGCACCTGGTAGACGCTCTATTTTAGAACCACTGCTAGCAGTCAGTCCCTTGTTGGGAACAACTACCTGACTGTGTCTTGTGACAAACATCCTCCTGCTTTTTCACCATGACCTAGATTTGTATCTTAAGTCTTTTGGATTACCTTCTGACACTGACTCTGCTTCCTTCTCTGGACTCATGAGCTTTGACTTCTCCTTAGGCAAACTGCTCAGGGAGGTTAGGACTTGCATTTGAGGCGTGTGATTACACACCCTGTTTGTGCTGACAGTATTTCCCTTCCTAGTAACATTTACAGCTTTTTCTGTGCTTCTTGTTGGAGACGAGAAAGCCAAAGTGGGAAACTACATAGCCTAGGAGGCTGAAATGAAGCGAAACAATTTATTTGTTCCTGCCAATCCAGATTTTTTCCCCCATTACTAGCATACTCTTTGGATGGCCAAAACAGCATCTATACGCACGGACATCACCAGATAGAATACCCAGAAATTGAATTGAATTGGTTGGGGACAGATCATCTTGTAGAAATTATATCTGATTATTAAGAGTTAACATGGACTTGAAAATATATAATAAAGTCCATCAGCAAGTATTGCTGACTGTAAGGCAGAATATCAAATCATACCAAAATACAATATTGAGGCTAATTTCTGGGATCATAAATTAAGCTTAAAGAGATGTATATTTTTAGCCCCAGAGTTATTAAGCTCTTCTACATAACAGTAAGAATGATACAGGTTCTGCAGTGTTGTATGTAATCATAATTAATAGATCTAGTATCAAATTTAAATTATTCTAACTCCCCATACTAAGTAAATATAACCAAAAAGATAAATAAAGGCTAAAGGCTGTGTGTGGGGTGGGGGTGGGGGGTAAATAACCATAAAACTCACTTCCAATTATATGTTCAGTTGTTATTTGATTATCAGGTCCTGTTGCCCTCATTGTATACATCCTAGCAGAATAGAATTTAATCTGCTTTCCCCTGTTTAAAACATGTTTAGGAATTATCAACAAACCCACCAGAGACAATGTTGGTGTATTTTGTGTGTATTGTAAAAATGTATCTGCCACCTGCAATCTATATCTCTATATCTCTATATCTCTCTATCTCTCTATCTCTCTATCTCTATCTCTATCTCTATCTCTATCTCTATCTCTATCTCTATCTCTATCTC